GAAAAGACAAGCACGTATGAGTGTTCTGCAGCCAGGATTTTTCAAGCTCACCTTGAAAACCTGGTGGTGAACCGAATCATTTCCTATTTTTGTTTAGCTGAGTTGCAGGGATGCTAAGCATGCACTGTGTGGCGTTTTGCTTCTACATGCGCGCAGGCTGCCTACTGGCTGCCTACTGAGGGCCAAGTAAGTGCTCAACAATTTTATACAGTGTTAGCGTATGCAGCAAAGGGGGCTTGATTGTGCTTGTATGCGGGGTTGCCTTGCACCAGCAGTTGCGTCAGGTTGCGCTGCCGCATATCACTTTGCTCTTGATCGATCGTAGGGGCATATTAGAATGTGCACGTAGCGTAGCTGAACGTTATGCATTCCATAAGCTACGTCAATATTGCATATATTCATATCTTTGCACCCACATAAAAGCCTGATCGGCTGTGCTCTAAGGAGCACCAGGTTCCCTGCACGCCTGTACAGACACTTGTCAAAAAGGCATTGGGTCTGAAATGAGCTAATGCCCGTTAGCTTTGAGACTTTAAGCGCCTATGCGACGCCATGCCTAACGGTTGCTTGCACTGAGCCGATTCTTCATGATGCGAACAAGAGGCTGTGCGCACAGTGGAATGAGATCCACGAGGTGCTCAGAAGAGGAGAACGCCAACTGCTGCAACAGCAAAGCCAAGGGAAATAGGCAATGCATGTGCAGCGTTTTTGTTGAGTCCAGCGGTGATCTGATCCCACTGGGCTTGCCTGACACACACACGCAACTCTCAACAGCCAGCATCTACTAGCAGCAAAGTTCCTTCAAAAATGCATTTCGTCTCCCACTTTGCGTGAACCCCTAAAAGCGAGGTGAGGTTCACACATAAATTCAACTTACGTGTATGGAGCGGCGCCTTGTGTCAGGGCATTGGGGGTGGTGATGCAAAGAAGCGCCTTCACTTCTTTATCTGTTGTGGTTTCACTCTCTCCTCCCGCAGCTGGGTCTTCTTCATCATCCCCATCGCCCTCGCCGGCACTGGGGTCTTTCTCACCATTGCTCCCTGTGTCCCCAACAACATCGGTGCTTTGCTGTTTGGGCTTGTTTTCTTTTGCTGGGCAGGTGAAGTATACGCAGTCAACTTTGGGGTTTTCGTTCGGGTTGAAAAGGGAAATGAAGGAAATGTTTTGAGGGTTTTTGTACAGCTCCGTCTCTTCTGTGTATTCCGGAGGTAGGCTCTTGAAGTTGGAGAGGCCAGCCTTCCAGTGGTCCACTGCGGCTTCGCAGTCAGCATCGGTTCCTTCTTGAACAGCGTAAGCGTAGGTGCCATCAAGCGCGCCTGACTTTGCAGGAGAGGCTTCGCTCTGTTCGTTTTATGGACATAGCACATGGAGGATAGGCTGGGAAATAAATGGGGTGCAGTTAACTGCCTATGCATATTTGTGTGTGTATTTCTGGGAGTAAGCTGTGGCGTCGAAACCCATACAAGGAAGCTGGCTGTTGAGGAATTCAGTGTCACGTCTTACAGCTTTCAACGCCGTGCAGACGGACTCGACGTATGTCGCCGGGGTTGCCCCCGCTGTTTTGGAAACCGGGTCTATTGGGAGCTTTTCCTCTGTAGTCTCTCCCACTGTGAATTCGGCGAAGCCGACAAGTTTGCGGGCCTCGTTCATTGACGCCGAGCAGTCCACCCGCTTTGCCGTGTCTGCACACACACTCGCCTCAAACATGTGCGATTTCAACTTGTTTTTTTCTTGCTTTCTGGATAGCATGCATCTATAAACAAAGTTTCAGAGGGTTCACAGGTGTCGTCCGCACTTTCAGCTGCGTTTGCTGTGTTGGTGTCCAGCAGGAAAATGGTGGCGGTGGCCAACGTCAGGAACTTGAGACCAAACATTCTCGACGTCCGGAGGCGTAGTTGTGAGCATGGGGCGCCTAGGGTTTTATAAAACACATTTAAAATTCCTAATAAGGTACGGACAACACCCGAAATATATCCTCAGCAACGCGAGAGTCGGTGGTGGTGCATTTGGGGCGGTCTCGAAGCCTCGGCGCTTGGTACAAGGCCTCCTTCTGCACACAGCTGTTCGGCACTCCTCTCCAAGGTATTATGCTCTTCAAGTACTATAATATGTTATATTTCAGTGTTATATAATTGACAATCCATTTTCAATGAATTTCTTGGGGCACGGCGTCTTCGCGTCTCGTCACGCGGGATACCCAGCCGAGATAGGCTCCTCCAACTCTTCATTTCTATGCCGTATCTGGTTGGCAAGTAGCATTTATGGTGGTGTTTTCGTCTTTTGGTGGCGTGGTCGCCTTATATAAAGGAATTATGCAGGTTTGTCTGAGCGT